TATATGTATATGTATATGTATATGTATATGTATATGTATATGTATATATGTATATGTGTGTATGACACATATATATTCATATATGACACACATATATATTCATATATATGACAGTATGTGTATACAGGCTATATGCAAATAAAACTCCCTTATTCAAAACTTCATTCTCTGCAATTTTAGGTATATAATATCAATGAAGGTGAATATGGTACAAACCATCTTTTGAAAGAGAAACTGCAAGAAGTTCCATCTAACTTTTCTTACTGTTATAATAGTTCTATTTTATACCAGTCATTTTTCATCTCTTACTGTGTTGAATTTATTAAGTTTATCACAGGTATGTAGTTATAGGGAAAACCATAGCATCTACAGTTTATCCACTAGGGGGTTTCTTGGAATCTATGCCCCACATATATGAAGGGGCTATTACTCTGCTATGTCAATTTATACAACTCAGGAATCCTCTGATTGTAATTTTTAAAAGAGAGTCTTGAAAAACTGTCCAGACTGGCCTCAATCTCATTTCCCGGCATCACTCCCTGAAGCTGGTGGGATTATAGGTGAGCACCCTCTGATTCTAGAATCCACAGGGACTCTTGGAATGGACTGGGAACACTGGGAATGTTGGGAACGCTGACGGACTACATAGTACTCTTCAACACTCTATTTAGGAATATGCTGTGTATCTTTGAGACTACTACCTTAGGAAACCCAGGGAGTTTAGTCAGTGGTAGAGCACTTGCCTAGAGCACACAAGGAGACTGAAGAAGAGTTCAGTCTCCAAGACTATAGAATATAAGCACTAGAATATAAGCACTGAAAACTCCTGGAAATGGAAGCCCACAGACAAGGCCAGTTTATGGCAGGCATGTGTAGCATGCAGGCCAGTGCTCCTTCCTCTCCAACGCTCTTGCTCCAGACATAAGGAAGCCTGATGCAGAACAGATGGGGGCTGATGATGCAGCCCTGTTTGTTAGTTGATAGTGTGGTTGCCATCAAGTGTGGCAGTGTGTACCTGCACTCCCAGCATACAGAAAGTTGAGGTAGTCAAAAAGTTCAAGGTCACCCGAGCCAAATAGCAGAACAGAACATATGAAACTATTTGTTGTTGTTAATTTAAAAATTAAACCAGGTTTTTTTTAAATTATGGAATTATCGTTGACAGTAAAATTGAGGTAAGTATCCAAACCTAATTATGAGTTTCAGGTTTAAGTTCAAAAAGTGATAGTTGGCTATAAGGTTTACAAGTAACAAACAGAGCCAAGCTTCTGGGAAAACACACACACACTTACTTCAAGCTGAAACTCGGTTTCAGTTTGTTTAAAAAAAAAAGTCAAACCACTTTAATACACGGATTATATATATTACTGTTTGAAAACGAAATAATCACGTATAGAAGACTTTCTAAAGTAAGTTTCCTCTTGGGAGCCCATTTTGGGGCATTGAGTTGTAACTAACTCTAGGATGTCAGTAACACAAGGGCTCCATCCATAACTCCTTGAAAAAACTGAAACCATGGACGCCTTGTCAAATTCAGACAGTTTATCTTGGCACTGGCAAGTACAGCAGTCTCTTCGATGTCTGGAAACGTGTCTAATTACGTCGAATGAGTAACTAAAAATTAGCCCGTGTCCCGGAACAGACAGCTTAGGGTTCACTCCATAGCATCTTGAATGGTAGGATGGAACTACGCCAGAAAGAGAAAAAAAAAAACGAAGAAGAAGAAAGAAGAAGAAAAGAAAACAGAAAAGGAAATCAAGCGTGAAAGCAGGAGGAGATGTCAGCCTCTTTTAAAACAACCTTCCAGTTTTCCTGGGGCTGCCAAGGCCATCATGCCGCTCCTAAGTTTTTCTTTACCCTTACTTTTGTTCCATTAAGTCACCCAGTCCCGCCCACATCACTTACCTGGCGCAGGGCGGTTTGGTACACCCCTAAGCGACCTCAAGCTCAGCATGCCCCTAATGCCCCTAATGCCCCTAATGCCCCTAATCCGGACGCCGCACAGGGGCGACCCCAGCCCCCTAAAAGTGCAGTCCTAGACCTCACCACACACCCTGGAGTCCCAAGGCCGCACCAAGGAAGAGTCTTCTCTCTGAGAGGCGTGACCACCCAGCGCCGCGGACCCCCTGTCACCCCGCCGCACTCATTCACGGGAGCTGCTCGCCCCTGTCACCCCGAATCCTCAGCAGCGCCCCCTCTCGGGAAACCTCAGCATGGCTATCGAAACGCGCTCACCTGAGCCTAAGGTTGGCCATGAACTCGGGCATGGAGACAGTGTCCATCAGCACGAAGTCCGCCTTGCCGAACTCAAGGCTCTCCTGCTCCGCCATGGCGCCGGCTCAGGTGGGAGCGCAAGGGCTGGAGCGGGGGTGCTCGGCACCTTCGGGCGGGGTCTGGCTGGAGAGAGACAGCCGCCACTCCTCAGAGCTCCGGCCGGCGCGGCTCTGAACGGGCGAGGCCGTCGGCTTCCGCTCCTCCCGCGGTGGCTGCGGGGTGTGTGGGGGCCGTGGTGGCGAGACGGAGACGGCGGCGGCTGGTCCCGCCTCTAGCCTGGGTCCCGCTGAGCCCCGCCCCGCCAGGGCCACTCGGGCCCCGCCCCTCCGATGAGCCCGCCCAGCCGCGGCCCAGCCGCCTCCTCACCTGGGCGGCGCGCACGCGCGGGGCGGGGACGCGCTCCGGGCCAGCCGCGGCGGCTGAGCGGCAGCGCCCCCTAGAGACAGGAACGGGCATCTAGCGTGGCGGGGTGCTGTGTGGTCCTGTCTCCGAGTGGAATAGGCCTTGTTGCCTAGTGGATGCCAACAGACTTACAAACATAACTTGAGCGGCCTTGGCGCGAATTATCCATTATGATTCCGTTACATTCTCCTGTGCTCACGCGCTATCCACCTTGAAGTGGTGGCTGAATAGAGATGTCAATGGTAGCAGACACTTCCAGGTCACCGAAATGTTCAGAGCTGGTCTAAGTGCTTTCGCAAACTTAAGTAACATGTCACACTGCTAGGAAGTAGAGCAGCTGCGACTTCGTGGAGGTCATTTGATTTATGAACTCCAGCATTCAGCTACATGGCTTACTCTTCATTTCCAGTGGTTCATTTTTTTCCTCTCATGTGAGCATGCCATCAGACATTATCTTGTACGAGTCATTCTTAAAAATATGTATGAATCATCTCCTCAGGATGCTTGCAGGCTTCTAGCATAGAGAACCTTGTCCTAAACTTTTTTTTATATCCCACACCTCCACTCTCCACACATTCCAAGAAGCTATTGTAGTGGGTTGTATTGCAAATAAGAAATCCATGAAATTAGTTCCATAGATTGTAATGAGTTGTGATTTCCAACTTAAAAACACACTGGATGCTCTTAAAATGGTTTTTTGTTGGGGGAGAGGTGTTGCTGGAGAGATGGCTCAGTGGCTAAGAGAATTCACTTCCTAGCACCCACAATGATAACTTTGCCTGAACTCCAGTTCAAGAAGATGAGACACCCTTTTCATACCTCTGAGGGCATCAGGCAAGAATATGGTGAACATACATACATGCAGGCACTCACACATTCACATAATATGCAAGTAAATAAATATTTCTTTTTTAAAAACATTTTTTTCCAAACATAGACTATGTTTTCTTGATGGCTATACATTGTAAGGGACATTGTCTAGTACCTGCCTCTCTTCGGGCCTGTGTCTCTGTTAGGACCATGTTTTGTGCAGAAACTATTAAGAAATCTAGAGGCATCCAAGCCCTGGCTGGGCTTCAGCTCTGTGGCTGAACTTGAGATGAGTAAACTAAGCTGAAGGACCTTGGCATGTTTTGGCTGCCAACAACCCACACTTGCCAAGAGAGGGGACGGTGCCTTGATCATTTTCATGGAGCACCTCTGCCGTCAGAAAGCCACTGATCCCTGGCACAGCACAGCTAGCTGGGCTGCAGTTTGGCTCCCATGTGTAGCTTTCTTTCTGCGGAGGATTCTTGGATTTCATCGTGCTTGTTTGTAGAAGAACAACTCTGGGATAGATACTTCCAAGGTAGGACTGTCCTATGCTTGTGTCATTTGTGAGAGTGGACCGGTGGCCATGAAGATGCTTATATAGAGTGATTCTGCATTCCTACACTGTTCAGATCAGTGTACTTCTATGTAGGCAGAACTGAATTTGTAAAGGGAAAGCAGTAGGCCTCAAAGTCTGTGCCCTAAGAAGTAGACCCCAAGTCCTATCGGTAAGTGGATATGTAATATAGGTATGCCCAGTACCAGCACATGTGTGTGGTGTGTGTGTGTGTGTTTCCTGAATCCTGGGGTTATTGAAGATCAGAGCAGAATTCTAGGCACTAGGAAAAGAGACAAGAAAACCTACAGAGCACAAGCTCGTCAGGGAATGGGAGGCACAGCAGGGTGACATGTGGTTTCCAAATGGCTAAATTTGGAGAACTTTATTGTAGTCATTGTCATGTATAGGAGCCTCAAGTCTGGAATGTATGTACAATCTGTGCAAAGATATTCTGTAAATTCTTGTATACATTCAGATTAGAATAAAGTCAGGCAATTGAGACCAATGAGTTTCTTCTGATGAACTCTGATGAACTCTGGGAGCTACCCAGCAATGTCCACTGTTAACTTAAGTCAGCCTCTAGATTCCGATGTAATTTTTTTATGTCATTGGGTTGTACAGTAAAAAGAGAATTCTGATTCATCTGTTCCAGAGGTAATCTATTACTTGTATAGTTTTATATCCAGTCATGTAGTGCCAAGCTGAAATCTTATAAATCAATGATCACACAAAGCCCAGATATTTGCAGAGATGGCATGGGCAACTCACTGTTAAGAACTATACTCGTGCAGGCTAAACTACAGCAGTCTAGCTGTTTCATTATGGCTTGAGTGTATTAACAAATAAAACAAGAGTTTGCATCACCAACAGTGAGATGTGCTGACATTATGAACTTTCTGATTTGATTTGATAAATACCACTTACCTGCTAAGAAATAAGCTGCATGTGTTTGTGAAGAAACATAGAGCAAACCCAGAACAAGGAGTAGCCTGCAAAAGAGTTGATCAGTACCCATCAAAAACACCAATGGTAGGAAACACAAAGATGCCAAGACACCGGTCCAGATTACAGGTGACCAAAGAGAGATAACAGCTGAAGGCAATGTGTGATCATCAAACCAGGCAAAGGTAAGGAATGCTGTTGGGAGAAGGATGGAAAGGACCACATATTAGACAGTAGTATATAGTGTCAATGTTAGTATTCCTAAATTCAGCTATTGTGCTGAGGCTTCCTAAAAGAGTATCATGAGCAGACATATATTAAAGTCTTTAGTAATAAAAGACATAGTATTTCAAACTGTTTGATAAAAAGAGTTTGATAACATCAGCATTTGGTCCGTGTGAACACACAGTGTGCAGTCCTGGTCGGACTTTCTGTAATGACTAGCCACAACACAGGGACTGCTGGGGTTATCAGTGAAAATCAACTCTGGGTGATCTGCTTAGAATGTTTGCTCGATTTCAGTTCCTCTAGCATGTTTCTAGTTTGTCCCGCCCTCCTTTTATCTCCCTTTGCCAGGGGTTCTGCATCCCAGAAAAACAGTTTGTTTGTTTGTTTGTTTGCTTGCTTTTCCCGAGCATGAATCTAACAAGACAGAAACAGAGAAGGGGAGAAAAAAAAAAGACAGCTGTGAAGAATATTTAAAGGACATTTTATAGTTATTTTATGAGCTTGAGTTGTTATAGAGCCGAAACAGTAAGGAACAGCAAGGCAAATTTACACTGCAAAATAATTTCATGATATATTTGTCGACATGCAGAAATCATTTGGGTTCTGTCAAAGAAAGTATTTCAAACATACTGCCTGCCTTTTAATGGATAAGCCTCAATTTGATCTAAAAATGATTCATCAAAAGTAGCATGTATATTCTAGGTAGTTTTGCTTGTTTTTTTGTTTTGTTTTGAAACAGAGTCTCACTATGTAGCTTAGGCTAACCCTGTACTAAAGCTTGTGGCAATTCTCCCAAGTGCCTCTGCTATTGTGCTGGTTACGTTTTTGCCAACCTGACACAAAGTGTGGTCATCTGGGAAAAGAAACCTCAGTTGAGAAAAATGTCTCATCAGACTGGTCTGTTGGCAAGCCTGTGAGCATTTTCTTGACTAATGATTACCATGGGAGGGCCCAGCCCACTGTGGGCGGTGCCACTCCTGGGCAGGTAGTCCTGGGTTGTATAAGAAAGCAAGCTGAACAGGCCACCAGGAACAAGCCATAAATGGCACTCCTCCACGTTCTCTGTGTAAGTTCCTGCTTCTACATTTCTTCCTTGAATTCCTGTCCTGCCTTATCTTTAGGGTGAATTGTAAATTGTTGTAAGGTGAAATAAACCCTTTTCTCTCCCTTTCCCCCAACCCCATTGCTTTATGACCATGGCGTTTTATCACAGCAATAGAAAGCAAACTAAGACAGCTATCACACCCAGATTTATCTCTGGTTTCTGAAGCCTAAATTTTTAAAGTAAAACACACCCTGTACTGGCTAGCTTTATGTCAACTCAACACAAGCGAGAGTTAACGGAAAGGAGGGACCCTCAATTGAGAAAAAACAAATGCCTCTATAAGATCTAGCTGTAGGGCATTTTCTTAATTAGTGATCGATTTGGGGGGTGGGGGCAGCCCATTGTGGGCAGTGCCATTCCTGGGCTGGTGGGCCTGGGTTCTATAAGAAAGCAGGTTGAATAAGCCCTAATGAGCAAGTCAGTAAGCAGCGCCCCTCCATGGCCTCTGCATCAGCTCCTGCCTCCAGGTTCCTGCCCTGCTTGAGTTCCTGCCCTCACTACTTTTGATGATGAACTGTCATATGGAACTGTGAGTGAATTAAAACCTTTCCTCCCAAGATGCTTTTGGTTATGGTGTTTCATCACGGCAATAGTAAACCTAATTAGGATACACCCTCTCTGATGCCATTGATGACTTTTGTGTATCCTTAGACTCTTTCTCCCCCTGCAATCCCACATCCTGATTCTCTCTATGGGATCAAAGAAAAATGAACAGTGTGTGTGTAGGGAGTCACTGCTGTAAGCCCCTCCCCCTGAAAGTAATAACAGGACTTTAAAAAGAAGCTGGGCATAGTGGTGCTTACCTTTACGTGTGGTGGTTTGAATGAAAATTGCTTCCATAGGCCCACGGGGAGTGGCGCTATTAAGAGGTGTGGCCTTTTGGAGTAGGTGTGGCCTTGTTGAAGAACGTGTGTTCCTAGGGGAGGACTTTGAGGTTTCAGAAGCTCAAGCCAGGCCCAGTATTGCTCTCTCTTCTTGCTGTCTGTTGATCCTGATGTAGAACTCCTGGCTACCTCTTCAGCACCATGTCTCTGCCTGCTTGCCTCCATGATTCCTATGATGATAATGGCCTACACCTCTAAACTGTAAGCCAG